GACTTTCAACAAATGCAAACTGCAATTTGTACTTTATACAGAATACACCATATCAAACCAAAGTCATCATATTCCATCCATACTCTCCACGGGGTGTAAAAGACACAAGGACTCCACGAACCACAAGATCCAGGTCGTGCACAGGTTGCTTGGCTGAGCACAGTCCTCACTGAGCGTCACTGAACGTACACATCAAGGTGGGAGAAGTTACAGGTGTCTACACTGGACTCAAGACCACCACTGGAGATGTGAACAGCACATATTGTAGCATAGACAGGAGAAAGGAGACAGAGTAAAGAGATGAAAAAGAGGGAGCCAGCTTTGTTAAAACCCTTCCCAGGCATGACCAAAGTAGTAATCAGGTGGTCAGAGCCTACAAAGACAAGGCCTGGTTCCCCTCATCCCAGCTGTAACACGCTCCCTCTTCCTTCTCACCGAAGCTCCTCCACCACGGCTCCTGCCACGGGAAGAGCAGCTCACCTGTCCTGGCCAGCACCACACAAGTTCCACTCTCCTGCTGACCCACGTCTTCTGCCCCACTGCCACCCTCCAGCTCACTCCAAACCTCCTTCAGCCCTGTCCCCTCACAGGTCACCTTGCTCCCTGTCACCACCTCCAGAAGACACCTGCACCTCCACCCGCAGGCCCCTGTGCACCTGCCAGCTCCAGCCTCCTGCCCTCACCACAGCACCTTTCCCTCGGTGTCCAGCCAAACACTTTCCCCTTCGCCCTGCAGCCACTCTGCCGCACAAAGCCCCTGCAAGCGGCACTGCCACCCGTGCCTGGATCCCGACACCACCTCTCCATCCCCACATTGCCCAGAACCCCCAAAGCCAGGGCTCTGCATCTCCTCCAGCTTCACTCAAGTCACGGGGCTCCCCAAACCTCAGGCGGGCCCCCAAATGCCTCTTCCCCCCGGCACCTCACGCACACCCGGCCGGCCCCGCCGCAGCCCCTGCCCCAAGGGCCGGCGCAGCCCCCGCACTCACAGCCGCCCCTTTTCCCAGGGACGCAGCCCCCGGCACGGCACGGCGCGACCCCGGACCCCTCCGAGCGGCTCTCCCCTACCTGGGCGGGCTCCGCGCCGGCGGGCAGCCCCTCGGGCAGGGCCTGGAGCAGCAGCAGGGCCATGGCGGCGCGGAGCCTCCTCGCCATCCCCCCCACCCCCCTCTCCCGCCTCCCCGGCCCGACTGCGGCCCGGGACGGGAGCCCAGGGGCACCCCGCGCCCGGACCCGCCCTCGGCACTCCTCTATTGGGCGGCCGGCGCAGCTTTCCGCTTGCCATTGATTCAGCGCGATGTCGTTTACGGCAGAACCGGGAGAGGCGGGGTCTGCGCGCAGGGAGCTGCCATCTTGAGTGTGGCACAGCGGAGGGAGCCGGCGGGCCCACTCGGGCCGCCATGGTGTGAGTGGCGGAACTGGCTGCAGAGGGGTGCGGGGGCTCCTCACACACACACTGGCACACAGACACACAGACAGACCCACAGCCTCCCTGCCGCCGCCAGGCACTCATCCTCCATTCAGCTGGTCACTCCTGCTCAGCATGAGTCGTGCTCAGCCTCCTCCCCAATGCGCTCACGTTGTCCCAAGCCCCAAGAGCCCGCCCGGAGCTGGGGCACCGCGCCGGGAAGGGCGGCATGGAGAGGGTGCTGGGATGGCACTGGGCTCAGGGGTAGCAGTCTGTTGGTGCCAGCACCACTGGCAGACATAAGCAGCATGGAGAAGAGGATCTCCCCCTGGGGCTGTGTCCCAGCATGTCCCCACACAGTGATCGTGCACTCCCAGCCGGTGTGGGGGCACAGCACTTGGCATCGATTCGGAGCTCAGGGAGACAGCCCGTGCTCCTGGGCCAGTGTCAGAGGTTTCTGCACTGCCGCTCCCAGCGCACCAGACAGCCTCCATGACGGATTGGCGTGATAAGGTTCATCAGATGCTCAGATAACACGTTAAGAAAGGCCCAAAAAAATAATTTATTTAGCAACTTATCTCCTGCCCTGGCTTTTTTCTATCCAGATCAGGTCACCCGCCTGCTGCTAGCGTGGGCCAGCAGGTGTTCACCCGTCACACCTTCACTGTGCTCGCTGCTCTTCCCCTGGCAGCCAGATCCCAGCCTTGGCCAAGCCCTCCGGCTGGGACTGCCAGTGCTTGAGGGAGCCCAGCAGCCTCCCAGCCCCTGCTCGGGCTCTGCTGCAGACCTACGGGACATCTTTGGTGTGGTTACTATTTGAAATGAGGTCGTAAACATGCTGGAACACTGACATTTCCGCCACACACTGTTATTGAAGGAGCTTTATTCCTGTTCCCAGCTAGCCCTGAAATTAGAGGCACAGCAGGGAGAAGGCATGGAGTTCACAGGAGCACAGGACAGGCCCAGATCAGGTGTGACTCATTGTTGGAGAGCAATTAGCACTTGCTGCTCTTCCCAAGCAGGGATTTGTCTGGCTCTGACTCTTTGCAATGAGGTTTCCTTCCTGTTGCAATGGGAAATGGAGGTCAGGCTGGCCACAGCTTGGCAGCAACTCCTCTGCTCCCCAGTGAGACCGATGCAGGCTGCGGAGTTACTGTGGTTTTGGGGAGGGCTGGCAGGCACTGGCTGCAGTGGCCATGTCCAGAGTGATGTGAGCTGTTGAGATGACTTGAATCCTCGAGGGGAGATTCCAGCTACAACCTAGAAACCTAGAAACCCTGCTGAGCTGAACTGTCAGCTGGCATAAATCCATGTTGATCTGAAGAGGGAATCCACTGCTATAAGCTCAGGGAGGCGGGAGGGAAGCTCTGTCTTGAGCATGGCTTGCCAATTCTATAAGCCCAGAGCAAAACTCTTTACTCTGTCCATAAGCAATAAACTGCACCATGTCCCACTCCCCAGGGCAGGGGAAGAGCTGATGTGAGATGGCAATAGCACTTCAGGGGGTCTCTGTGCTCCACTGCCCCTCTAGAACAGCTGAGGGCAGGAAAAAAGGAGTGGCCAAACAGCTGAGGCTTTGCTGCCGTGGTCCCAAGTTTGGCTTTGTGTGGCTGCTGCCCCAGAATCATTGCCCACGGAGCTCCCTGCTCTGCCAGACCCCTCCAAACTGGGGTGAACAGCAAGAATAGGGGAAGGCAGTTTTTGGGTGCTACAGCACATCATTTTACAAACACCACCATGCTCCCAAGCATGCCAGAGGCACCTTGGACCCAAAAGAATGCTACAGGTACTTTTCTGAAAGTCCTCACAGCTGTAGGGTGTAGGACAAGAGCAGTGTGAGCTAAGGAGCTTAAGAAAAGCAGAGGGCAGTCTCCCTGTGGCTCCTCTCCACTCCCAGCAGGAGTGACACCTCTTTCTTCTCATGTGCTTATCTGTTACTTTAATTGTGCTTTAACAAGAGATCTAATAATGCCCAGGGAACAGATACACAAGTTTGAACATGTTTTCTTACTTTCTGCTCTCTTTCTTCTCATGTGCTTATCTGTTACTTTAATTGTGCTTTAACAATTTGTGCTTTAACAATGCTGTTAATTATTTCAGAGCTCTTTTACAGCTTTCTAGCAGTAGCTACATGCGATTTGAGACATTATCCTTTGCCTGTTGCAGCTTTGGCAGAAGCAAACTTGCTGTGGATACAGCTTGGCACTTCAAGAAGCACCTTTTGGGTTTGGCTGCCGTCTCTGAATGAGCAGAATGGGTAATGTGTCCTCTACTCAGGCACGTGGCTGATGTGAGAATGCTGCTGCCCTAGAGATCTGACACGTATGCCTGACTGGAGGGAGAAGCATGGGTCATCCACTGGGCCATGGGACTCTCAGAGCAGCCACATCATATGGCTTTGTTGGTGTTTCCAAAGTTTCCATGCTTGTCTCACCAAGGGATGTTCATCACCAAACAAACAGAGAGCCTGAATGCAGCTGACTGAAAGCAGGGGCTTGAGTCCAGGACTTGGGCTCCTCTCTCCCCCAGACTAGGCTGCAGCACACTCAAGTTGCTCTCCTTTGGGGTGGGAGCAGCCTCATGGCAGACCCAAGATAGCATCATGAAACCCTGCCTGGCCATGAAGATAAACAGCACCCATGGGTGTAGGAAGGGTCACCCAGTGTCATCCTCCCAGGCCCCAGAAGAGGATGACTGTCACTGCGAGGACAGCACAATCACCTTTGTCACCTGCCATGGGACTTTGCAGCCCCAAGAACCTCTTGGGACAGGCTACCATTGAATACCCAAGGGTTCAGAGCTCATGCCATCCCCTACACTCCTCCTCCTTCTCCTGGCCCTTTTTCTCACCCTCACCCTGATGCTTGGTTGGTCACAAAGCCCACACTTTTCCCTTCCAAGGCAAGCATAGGACCCACATACCAGCCCAGCCCAGAGAACCAGAAACAGAGATCAGCCAGAAGCACAACCCACAGCTGTTTTCTAAAAATCACCGCATTTATTTTTCAACCTTCCTCTGCTGTTTGCATCGCATCAGCACTGAGTGAATTCAGAGCCTGAGTGAATGCCTTGACAGCTCTGTGACAAGAGAGAAGCTACTGGAGAGTGTTCAGTGGAGGGCCACAAAGATGATGAGGGATTTGGAGCATCTCTGATGAGCAGAGACTGTGAGAGCCAGGTCTGTTCAGTCTTGAAAAAGAGAAGACTGAGAGGGGATCTCATTAATGCATGTAAATGACTCAAAGGCAGGTGCCAAGGGCATGGTGCCAGGCTCTTTTCAGTGGTGCCCAGCAGCAGGACAAGGAACAATGGCCATAAACTAAACCACAAGAAGTTCCACCTCAACATGAAGAAGAAATTCTTTACATTGAGGATGGCAAAGCACTGGCACAGGCTGCCCAGACAGGTTGTGGAGTCTCCCTCTCTGGAAATATTCAAAACTCACCCGGATACATTCCTGTGTAACCTGCTCCAGTGTCCCTGCCTCAGCAGGGGGGCTGGACTAGATTACCTCTAGAGGTTTTTCCAACCCTAACAATTCTGTGATTTCTGTGTCTTCTTCCCCATGTCAAAGGCAGCACAGAGACAATTGTCCCCTAAAGCTGCAATTTCATGGTTTTATTGTGGGGATCAGAGATGTAGGACAAGGGTGACAGTGCTAAGAGGAATGAAAAAAATAAGAGCTAAAAACAATTAGCTATTTCTTTCCTGGCCTGTGGCAAACACAGAGTGAATAGAACCTGAACCTGAGAGCAAGGAATGCATAGTCCAGGCATTGGTCTCTGGACTTTGGGATGGTCACTCTCATGGTGCAGAGAGAACAGGTGCCTTCACACCTGCCAAGACATGATCCATCTCTTGGGAAGAGGCTGCTGTGGTGGTTTAAGGCAGGAATGTGCTTTGGTTGCTGGTACAATGGCAGGATATCAGCTTTTGGAGGTAGAGCTGTGCTCTGAGCCCCAAGGGAGAGAGCCTCATGCCTCTTGGGGCCCAGACAGGCTGGGCCAAAGGAAGGCACAGGAAGAGCAGGCATCCCTCAGGGCAAGAGGGACATGGAAAGGCTGAGACATGGCCAGCAGCAGATGGGCATGGGTCAGGACAAGCCAAAGTGCTGCAAGCTGGACACACAGAGTCAGATCCTGATTCTACAGTGGAAGAAGGCTGCAGAGAAGGTGCTGGGTGGGGGAGCAGATCTGGGCTGGACTGTGCCTCAGACCCTGCTCAGGGAATGTGGGAATGGTGGTGGCAGGAGGCCAGAGGGGTGCGATGGCTCCTGAGGTAGTCTCCATTCACAGTCCTTTGTTAAAATAGACATATGGCACTTTGTCCCCGTGCTTGGCCATGATACTGTCACGCAGCTCCACCTCAAGGTCAGCCAGTGCAAGGGAGCTGTGGAGAGGGAGATACAGACTGAGAGCCATGATCCTCCTCCCTAACCACCAGTCAAACCACCCTCCCTTTCCATTGCCATTTGAGGCCTCTGCAGTCCCTGGGATCTTGCAGGCTCATGGCAAGACCCACCACCCCTCCCTCCCAGCGCTGGAAGGCAGAGAGCTGCCCACAGAGCTGGGTGTCCTGTTGCTCCCAGCACAGAGCTCACAGAGCAGGGGAGGCACATGTTTTCCTGCTGCCCTGGGCACCAGTGTGTACAAACAGGCACTGCCTTGGGTTGAAGGGTGGGTGCCCATCATGCTTCTCCTGGGATGGGCAGAGAGGAACTAGGGAAGGAGGAAGGCTCCCGAGATCCCATGCAGGAGGGGTAAGCAGTGGAAGAGGTACCATCGCTGGGGGAAGAGGGCACAGGCTGCTGGCACCATGAACAGGAGGCTGTGGGACAGAGAAAAGCAGAGCATTAGTCTTGGGGATTCCAGCCTGTTTGCCCTCCAGCCACAGGGATTTCAGCAGCCCAAGAAGTGCTGCTCACACCCCATGACTCCCAATAACTGGGGAAAGCCCAAGCAGAAAGGTAAGCAGTTTTCCAATCTCTTCTGGGAAAGAAGTATTTTTCAAGCATCTCTTTGGAGCCATACTCCAGGCACTCACAGGTGACTGAGCAGTGAGATACTTACAAGCCCCCGCACAGCAGCACCTGCAGAGGCCCATGGAGAACCCGGATCCGCTGCAAGAGAAGAGCCAGGATTGAGTCCCTGGCCTCACCACAAGGCCCACTCACAGGGTGGACAGACTTCTCCCCTTGATAGGGCTTCTCCCCTTGACAGGCCCAACACCTCTGTGTGCACCAAACCCTGCCACTCTCCCACAGCCTCCCCAATGTGACTTGAGAGGCCATTGGTGTATCAATGACTGAAGTAGGAAGCAAAGCAAGCCAGGCTCTGCAAATCCCCATTTGATCCCCAGCAGCAGGGAAGCTGGGCTGAAGCACCACAGAACTCACTGGCAGGAGAAACATGCACTCACCTGCATGAAGGTGAATTTCTCCAGCCGCTCCATGATGATGGGCAGAATAACTAGGCACAGAAAACAAAGGTCAGCCCAGAACAGCTATCCTGCTAGCCAGCCTGCAGGGCTGTCCCTGCAGGACCATCCATCTGGAGGCCATGGAAGCAGCTGGTTATGCTGGGGGCTACTGGCTGTTTGCTGACAGCAAGGACCTGACACAAGGCCCCCCACATCCATAACTCGGGCAGCAGCATGGTCTGTGCTCCTCATGCTCCTGTCCTTCCTTCTGAGCTTGCAGCATGTCAAGGGTCTCAGGAGCAGAGGGGGTTCTGGGCTGCAGGTGAGGGGCTAGGGCTAGAGAGCATGAGATGCATCCTTGTGGGGCCAAACTGCCATAGGAGCATTCCCTGTTTCCCGAGCTGTGGTTTGGCATGGAGGGGGCTGGGGGCTTGGGGATGTCTGATGGGAATGGCTGGATGAGGAGAGCAAATGCCATCTGGGATGCAGGGCCACCCTCCCTCTTTTTCATGAGGGAAACTGAAGCAGGAGAGGGCATGGTGGTGGGTCCTGGAGAGTCCCCAGTTCAGCTGCACACCCTCCTGCCCACACTCACTCATGCCTGGTGCTGCCATGGTGATCCTGGAGAGCACAACCTGCGCGATGCCCTTCACTGCTGCCCTCTGCAAGCAAAATCAGCAGGTGAGCCCTGGCAGCGCCGTGCCCCAACCCGTGCCCCCATGCCCAGACTCACCCTGGAGCGGCCGAGCTCGTTGTTGTTCTCATCTGTCACTGTGATCCCATTGATGATCTCCCTGTAGGGGATAGGTAGCTGTAAGTGGAGGACGGGATGGCCAGAAAAGCATAAATACACAGCAGTGAGGAGAGGGGGTGCCAGGGGAGTCCTCTATACACAGCAGCCCCGAATGCCCCCAGGCTCCAGCACCCCGGGGCACACGGTCCCCAGCCCAGCCGATGCTGCCATCTTCAGGGCACAGCTGCGAGCAGGGTCTGGCTGTGCTAGGGACAGACACTGCCTGGATACACAGCTGAGCCAGGACACAGTCCCTCACACAGTACCCGAGCTCCTTGTGCTGTGACTTGTGGGGAACCCCAAACAGCAGACACAGGTCACCACAAGGACCACAACATCAAGATATCATGGACTGGTGTTCTCCCACGACATGCGGGAGATCTTTGGGTCTGAGGGATCTTCCAGCACAGATTCCAGAGCAGCTATCCTCAGCCAAAAATGCCTCTCCTGCTCTAGGTGGAGGCTGAGCCATCCCACCCAGCACCCTCCACCACAGACACAGCACTGCAAATGCACACACCCCAGTTCACCTCTCTCCAGCTCCCAGGAGGGGAATCCAAGACAGGGAGGCCAGGCAGCCCAGGAGCCTGGCTGCCAGCTGCCTGCCTTTGGAGTGAGCTGGGTCCCTCAAACCCCCAGCCACATGTGACACTTACTGTTGCCGCATCATGGGGATATTGACACAGTTGGCAGCAGCCACAGCTGCAAAGGGGACCCAGCGGGCCAGCAAGGGGGGAGCTCGCTGTGGGAGACAGGCTGGCATCAGCACGGGAGAGCAGGGTGTGCCCAGCTGCCCCACCTGACCCCAGCCTGGCATACCTTGGTGTAGAGGTTGAGTCCCACTGCGGTGGCCAGGGCTGCACTGGTGGCTGTGACATAAGCCACCCCAATTTGCCTGGACAGCGATTTCAAAGGAGGGAGACAACAGAATCACTAACTCTGACTCAGCCCTGTTCCTTCTGTGCCCAAGACACGGCACAGAGGGTCTTTACAGGGCATCCAGGGGTGCATCAAATGCACACTCCATCCTGTGCGGCCCGCTCACCTCAGAGAGATGGGGGAGGCAGCGTTGCGGTTGGTGTAGTTGACAAAGGCATTGAAGGACTGGTTCACCCACTGCCAGAAAACCACAGCAGGCACTGTCCTGTGGAGGGAAGGGATGGGAGAGCACCCCAGGGCTGTCAGGGACATCTGGCCTATGCCCATGTCCAGGCTTGGCAGGCAGGCAGCCAAGATGCCTGCAATCAACTCATCATGGTGTCTCCAAAGGGAAACTGAGGAACTGGGGCAAAGTGATAAGCCAGTGGTAGAGCTGGGAAATGATCCCAGGAGTTCTGCTTGCCCTAGGGAGCATAGGAAGAGGGGGGGGCAGTCCTGCAAGGCACTTGGGCAGGGGTGGGAGACACAGCTCTCAGCAGGGTGGCAGCCATCCTCTGCTGGGCTGAGATAAGCCTTTGTCAAAGTGAGCAGCAAGGAGGGGACACATGGAGACAGAAGTAGCTCTGGGCAGTGAGGGTGCCTGCTCTTCTACTGGTGCCTCAGGGACACTGACATGGGGCAGGAAGGGACACAGGGAGCACGCTTTGGAATGCAGGGGGGTGGAGAAGGAAAATGCAGGGAGCTGTCAGCAGGGGCTGGGGATGCTGAAGCAACCTGGCCTAGGGGCACATTTGGTCCTCAGTTCCAAAGACTGCTATGGGCCACAGACCAAGAGCAGCAGCCAAGCAGCATTTGGTTGCATTAATCATTACAGGAGCTATGGGAAGAGCTCAGAGTCAGGTGAGACCATTCCCAGCCAAGCCAGGGGGATTTGTGATGCTTCTGCCACAGGCTGGGTGCTGGGGACAGAGCCCAGAGACATTGGGCTTGACCACGGGACACAGGCAAGCACAGCAGCCATGGGCATGCCCTGGGCAGCACCCAGCCCCAGAGGAGGCAGGCTGGCCGTGCTCTGGCCATCAGGGACCTGCAGAGGGGCTGGGGGCTGTCAGGGCTGTGTCCCCAACCTGGTGTACCCAGGAGCTCACCGATAGAACTGGAGCATGAAGCCGGTGATGGCCATGCCCCCCGGCACCTGGAAGGACATCCTCCCAATGAGGTTCATCTTCTCCCCGGTGTCAGGGTGGAAGGCTGAGTCGTACAGCTTCTTGGCATAGAGCAGCTGCTCCTGGCTGCTTCCCGGTGGCACCAGCCCGGCCCTGCAAACCCAAAGCCCATCAGGGGAAGCTGCACAGACCTGCCAGCACCCAGCACTGCCGAGGCACAGAGCTCCGGGCACCACATGAAAGGCAGAGGAAACAGCTCCTGAGAAGGATGCATGTCATGGCTTGAGGCTCCCGGGAGAAGCCTGGGAAACCCCCCAAAACTACCCCCAGCAGATGTTACATCACAGCACACCTGCTTGAGAACGACTGCCTCCATCCCCTGCAACACTGCACAGTGGTTGGGATGGCCATGAACACAGGGATGGCACCTGCCCCATCTGTATCCCTGCCTCTCACCTGCAGCCCTCCACCAGGGCTTTGGCCTGGTCCAGCTCCTGCTCCGGCACCAGCACTGTCCGAGGGTCGGTGATGTTGAGGAAGTGCTTCAGGCGCCCCACAAAGGTGCTCTGGTCCCAGCGTGGGGCGTCGATGTTGAAGCTAAGGGAAACTGTGGCCATCTTGGTGTAGGTCTGGGCAGGGGAAAAGGCTGCTCAGTAGGATCCTGCCCTGCTTACTCATTGAGTGCACGCCTGCCACGGCCACAGGAGCAGTCAGCTGGGTGAGAGCCATGGCAGGTTTATATTTAACAGGACAACTGGACTTTCAGCAGCCCTGAGCCCAGGAGGCCCCTGCACTCCTGCTGTCAGCAGAACACTGCAGCCAGGTCACTCCTTCACACATCACCCCGCTTGCCTGGGGTATTCTGCACCCCACACCCCCTCCTCGGGGTGGAATGGTGCTGCACAGCACTGTAGGGCCTGGCCCAACCCTCCACAAGGCTGCCCTGCAGGCGCTCCTACAGGAGCACAAATCTGCAGCCCCAAGGGTGTAGAGCACAGCATCCCCACACTGTGCTGTGCCCCCCATGGCACTGTCCTGCACATCCCTCCAATGCTGCCCTGCACTGCCATGGCATTGCCCGGGGTGCTGCAGCACGTATGCACGGTTGCACAGCACAGAGTCACAGAATGAATTAGGCGGGAAAATGCTTCTGAGATCATCTGAGCCCAAACATCACCATGTCAACTACAGCATGGCACCAAGCGCCGTGTTCTTTCCTTAAACACCTCCAGGGATGGTGACTCCACCATTTCCCTCGGCAGTCCTTTCCAGTATCTAATCATGCTTCTGTATAGAAACACTAATGTCCAACCTGATCCTCCCCTGGCACAGCTTCAGCCTATATCCTCTCATCCTATCGCTGGTTTCCTGGGAGAAGGGGCCCACTCCCACCTAGCTACAACCCCATTTCAAAGGTAGTTGTGGACAGCAATAAGCTCTCCCTGAGCCTCTTCTCCGGGTTAAACGCTCCTAGCTCACTCAGCCACTCCTCATAAGACTAGAGCTCCAGACCCTTCACCAATTTCCTTGACCTTCTCTGCAAGGCACAGCACAGCTCGGCACAACCCAGGCTCGGCCCGGCATGGCACAGCCCCGGCACACCTCCAGCGCGGCTCGGTCACGGCTTTTGTCGGCTGGGCTCGGCTTTTCTCGGCTGTGCTCGGCTCGGCTCGGCTCGGCTCGGCTCGGCTCGGCGCGTCCGCACGTGCCCCACCTGCGCTCCCAGGTCCCTCTCCCGCCCACGAGCCGCTCGCGCGCCCCCGCGCTCCGACGCGTGGCCGCTCTCAGCCAATCACCGAGCCCCGAGCGGCCGCGCCCACCTCCCCCCCGGCAGGGCCGCCCTAGTACGCACGCGCCGTTTCGTGGGCGGGCTCTCAGCCAATCACCGAGCCCCGAGCGGCCGCGCCCACCTCCCCCCCCGGCAGGGCCGGCCTAGTACGCACGCGCCGTTTGGTGGGCGGACCCGTGTCTGGCCCCGCCCCCGGCGCGGGCACGTCGGCGCGCGGGGTGGGTGTGACGCAGTTGCCCATGGTAACCGCGGGCCGCGCCGAGGATGGTGAGCGGGGCGGGGGCGAGCGGGGCCGGGCCGGGCCGGGCAGGGCAGGGCCGGGGACAGCGCGGCCGGGGCGCCTGCGGCCGCGGATGATCCCCCCGCGGAGCGTGGCGGGATGGGGGCCGGAGGGTCTGTCGGGCCCGGCCGGGCTCGTGGCAGGCACGGGCAGGCCTTGGGCCGTGGGAGGGGGTGCCACGGCGGTGGAAGCGGGGGGACCGAGCCAGGCCCTGCTTGGTGCTGTCGGGCAGTCGGATAAAAGGCAACGTGCAGAAAGTGATGCACAGGAAATTCCGCCTGAATACAAGAGAGAACTTTGCCGTGCGGGTGACCGCACACTGGAACAGATTGCGCAGAGTTTGTGGAGTCTCCCTCAGTGGAGATATTCCAGAGCCACATGGACAGGATCCTGTGCCGTGTGCTCAAGGATGACCCTGCCGGAGCGGGAGGCTGGAGCAGATGACCGACTGTGGTCCCTTGCAGCCTGAGCCGTCCTGTGACACCCGCCCAGGGAGTGTGGCTGGCCTGGGGTCTGAGTGCCCGCCTGGGGCTGTGCAGGTGCAGGCACCCGTACAAAGGCATGAGAGCAGGGCAAGTGTGGGGCCTCCGCCGTGGAACATCCATCCTGGCTGAGGTTGGGGCCCTGGCAGCACGCAGATGTTATGGGGGACACGAAGAAGGGGGTTGAGTCCCAAAAAAGGCAACAGAACCAGTGAAGGGCCTGGAGCACAAGTCCTGTGAGGAGTGGCTGAAGGAGGTGGGATTGTATAGTCTGAAGAGGAGGAAACTCAGGGCTGACCTTACACTCTCTAGCTACCTGAAAGGAGGTTGTAGACAGGTGAGGATCAGCCTCTTCTCCCAGGCAGAAGTGACCCAAGTGACAGGACAGGAGGAAATAGCCTCGAGCTGTGCTAGGGGAGGCTTGGACTGGACATTAGGAAGAATTTCTTCACAGAAAGGGTGATTGGACATTGTAAAGGACTGGCCAGGGAGGTGGTTTAGTCACCATCCCTGGAGGTGTTTAGGTAAAGATTGGAAAGATTGTACATGGCACTTGTTGTAATGCTCTAGTTGGCGTGTAGGTGTTTGGTCATAGGTTGGACTTGGTGATCTCATAGGTCTTTTCCAATCTAATTGATTTTGTGATTCTGTGGATCAGGTCTAGACAGAGGCTGGAGGCTCAAGGATGCTGTGGGGGGCTCTTTGTTGGGAGGGAGTCAGCATTCCTGGAGTTGATTCAGTCAGGGTGTGGAAGGTGTGATGGAGGGCTGGGTGCTTGGGAGGGCTGGGGACCAGGATGGCAGTGGCCTGAGGAGGGAAGGAACGATGGAAGAGCCTGGCAAGGATGGAAGGCAGTGCCCAGAGATTGCCTGTGAAGAGTTTGGGAGCAGCTGTGACTCTAAAGGTGCACTGGACAACCCAGCCAAGGTGGGAGGAGGCCACCCTGGGACTTGGATGCTGTCTAAAGAAATGGAGGGAGCTAGGAGAGAACTTGCTGAGGTGGAAGGGCTGGTTTTTGATACAGAGCCTGAGAAAGGGCTGTGTATCAATGATGGCAGAGAGAGACTGAAGGGGTCAGGTGTTCAGAGATGTCCAGGACAAAGTGCTCCATGGCTGAAAGAAAACTGCCAGTTGGGTGGGATGGACAGTCTGGTGAGTCAGGGGGAAAACCCAGTCAGTGTTTGGCTGGCTAGGATAGTGTGCTGGGATGTTGTGTGCTCTGGGGTTTTCTGCCATGGGCTGGCAAGATGGAGAACAGTCTGGGTTCAAAAGAAGAAATAAAAATAAACAGTGGGAATGACTGGAAGTGGAGTTTTGATATTGATGAGAGAAAGAAAGATCCCAGGCAGAAAAGAAGCGTTGGAAGAGGGAAATAAATTGTTGTGAGAGGTAGTAGCATGAATTGAAGGCAAAAACTGAGTGTCTTGGGTTAGAGGGCAATGTTGGGAGACAGGTGGGGAAATTGTTGGAGAGGTAGTAGCATGAATTGAAGGCAAAAACTGAGTGTCTTGGGTGGAGGGCAGTGCTGGGAGAGAGGTGGGCTGGTGAGGGTATAGTGCAGTCTAAATTGATGTTGGATAATGGACTGAGGTCATCCAGGTGTTGAAAACAATTTGGGTTTAGATGCCAAAGTAGTTGGGGTGGGACAAGTTGGATGCTGGCAAAGTGCAGTGAGGACTAGGAGGGGTTGGAACTTGGGTGAGGGTGGTGAGAGAGATCTGCCGTGCATGTGCAGCCACTCATGAGGCTGCTGCATGAAGAGAGAGCGCAAGCAGAAGGCAATGGCAATGGGGAAGGAGCTTTCCCAAGGGTAAAGCCTTATTTTGTCCAGGAGCCCTCTGCACGTAAGTTGGATTCATGCATGGGAGGAGGTGTAAGCAAGAGCAACAAAGGCAGCTTCTCATCTTCACTGGGTTAATTCTGGCTGCATCCCTACCTGCTGGGTCACAGAGCAGAAGATAGAGATGAAGCCTGTGGGATCTGCTCTGTTTCAGATGAGTTGGTGATGGGGAATGTCACACCAGGCACCAAAGCCATCACAGGATGGACATCTGCTGGAAAGATGAGGACAGCTGCCTGCAGCAGTGCACTGCTTTGTGGGACACATTTGGCTTGCAGCTGCCAGATCTGCTCTTGTGCCTTGTGATGTCCTGATAAGCTGGTGTAGTCTGGGATCTGGCTGCTCTTATCCAGGCGCTTTGTGTGCAGGGAGGGTGACTGGGTGTTCGCCAGTGTTCATGTTATTTGATACAACATTTTACTGCCTCTTTGTCTATTTTCCACTTCTTGGAGTTGTTTTTTGAATTATAGCCTCTCAGGCAGGGTGGGTGGCACTTTGGGGTGCCTGGTGGGCTGGGTGGACCGGACAGAGGACTGGAGAGCAATGCACTATCTCTCTAGATTCTCAGCTTTCACTAAAACAGAATAATCATTTGTGGTAGAAACTCTGAAACAGCAGGAAATACATCCAAAGCAGCTATGGCAGCCTGGGGGTATGGGTCAGCAGTCAGAAATCATCCAGACAGCTTGATGTAACAATTTACTGCTTGTCATCTGAACCATGGTAGCTGCCCGTGAGCACGTTCCTGCCATGTCCTGATGGCACTGGGAAGCACTTAAACTCCCCTCAACGACTGCTTGCTCCAGCTGCAGTGATGAGAGGGTTAATGCTGAGGTTTAAATTATTTCAGTGTTCATCCAAGTGAGTAAGTACAGAGGAGCAGTGTCTTCTTCTGCAGAGGATACCAGGATGTCTCACAGCTGTGGGGCAGGGGTGGTGGAAGGTCATAGTTGGAGCACGGAGGGAAGGATGAGCCATAAAACTGCAAAGCATGAGAGATGTGTAGTGCTGAAAGTCTTTGGCACCGTTAAGCAGCATCTGCAGTGGGCGCGTGGCAAGGGCGAAAGGAGGCTGCGACATGAAAGGATGTGCTGCTTTCCAAAGTTTGGGAAATGCAGAGCTTGTGGCTTCCTCGTCACAATAATGCTTCCTATTGTCACTGTAATAACAATCTTTACCAAGAGACATGGTATGTTATTCATGGATGCTGGGGCCAGAGGATGGTC